AAAACCGCAAAATCCGCGTTCCGTATTTTTCCTTCACCGCCCGGTCAGACCGGGCAAGGTCTGCCCGATCGGGCGCGAGAAGAAAACTCCATACGAATGCTTCAACGTATCCAACCCCCACCGCCCGGTCAGACCGGGCAAGGTCTGCCCGATCGGGCGAAGGCTCGCCCGGTCGGGCGAAGGCTCGCCCGGTCGGGCGCGAGAGCAGCTTCTTCAACGAATTTGCCAGGCACCTCTTCTTCTTCCGCCCGGTCAGACCGGGCAATGTCCGCCCGATCGGGCGGACAAAGCTACGAAGTACGAGTCACCTAATATACTTATCAACAATTAATCTGACCGTGCAGAGTGCAATTATATTCCTCTTTCTCACATCATCTCATGCATTTGCCGATATTAATCTAACTTAATTTAATTAATTTGATTCTCTCTTTAATATAATTAAAATTAATTATATAATGTACCTCGAAAAGTGTGTAAACTAAGTAAAGAGGTTAATCATGCTAACAACTGGGGCAGCTTGATTTGGAAAGCGGAAAACAATGTTAAAAACAGAGGTTAATCATGAATAACTCTGCTACTAACATTCTCTGAACTCATGAGGTAAAACTCTGAATTTTTTTATCAATCATCATCTAGGTGATTATTGGTCAATTTTTATTTTTTTCTAGTTTATTTTTATTTATTTTTCTACTGTGTACAAATTATTGGGTTAGTTTTCCAATGTACTTCTTTTGATTTTATTAATTACACCGACAGTTTTTATATCACTCAAATGTTTTGTAAATGGACTATATTAACATTATATAGAATAGGACATATTACGGAGTACTATAATGTAGTAATAATATTGTGGAAAATTAATATTCCCTCTATTTTAGAATATACTCTTATACTCTTGTACTAGCTATGAATTTTAAGGTTGTTTCCGAAGCAATGTATAAGGTTTTAAGGGTAATTTAAAGTTGTCGAGGGAGAGAGTTAAAAGTGACGCGTAAAAAAGTGAGTTGGCAAGAGCAATTAGCTATGTTAAAGATATTCATGATAAAAAAAAAAATGCATACATTGGCAAATATCTACAGTCATAGTGAGAAGATCATCATAAAACAGGATTTTGTGCTAGTTTTTTTTTAGTTCGACTAATAGCCAATATTTGAGTATACCATAAATCATTGGAGTTTATACACATATCCATTCCTGTTACCAATCTCATATAACCAAGTTAAACCATTAATACACATAATTCTTTACTCATGTAGCTCAACAAGTGAAATGAGGGTGTTTTTTTTTATGGTAGCTCAAACCTTATACTACCTCAGGTCCAAATTACTCGGAACTTTAGAATATTTTATATCTCACAAATAATACACCAAAGTTGCGAGTAAGTTGGACCAGAGGTAGTATTGAATTCCACCCTACTCTCAAGTGAGGGATAGCTCAAGTGATTAGAGCTTCCCTCCCGATTATAGGTCCTGTGATCGATTCTCACCCCCGCCCTTATGACTCTCTAAATACAAATATATATATATATATATATTTGTTTTATTATTTTTTTTTGGAAAATTTGCAAATTGCAGCCATTTAAAGTTCGTATTTTGCAAATTGCAGCCCAAAAGTTCATATAAATTGTAAATTGCAGCCCGATTCAACATTTTCATCGGTTTACAAGTTGAAAAATCTTTCATTAAGGTTGTAGGGGTCATTTAAGGCCCTAAGGGTCCGTATTGAGCTCGGAATTAGCAAAAAAATAATGCAAATATCTCGTTTAGCGTAACAAAAATGTATCGATTTGTGGGAAACTGTAAATATGAGACACTTACGTTATTTTTTTGCTAATTTTGAGCTCAATTCGGGACCCTAAGGAATAAAATGACCCCTACAACCTTAACTGAAGATTTTTCAACATGTAAACAGATGAAAAAATTGAATCGGGTTGCAATTTACAATTTATACGAACTTTTGGGCTGCAATTTGCAAAAAAAAAAAATTAAATGGCTGCAATTTGCAAAATACGAACTTTAAATGGCTGCAATTTGTAAATTTTCCTTTTTTTTTTATTTTTTTTTTATATGAAGATATTTTGAGGACGAGATAGTACATGCCGTAAAGTGTTGAGGGTCAATCATGTAGCAATATATTATGCCGTTTATGCGTATATAATTTTTGTTTGAATAAAGTGATATGACTCCACTTATCAGTTCAATCACAACCTTTAGGACTTCTAAAGCATCAGTCGGTTACTTCTCGGTACGATAATTAGATTGTATGATTCCGTACACTTTATTTGATGTGATGGTACTCTAACAGTATGTCTACACATATCGATAAATATGTTCCTATATCACAATATTTATTTCGATATTTCATCATATAACTTCGTTTATTGTTCTACTAGTACTTCGTTTAATGATCGAATGATATACACCGTCAATTCTTACTTATTCTTCCTATCATGATTAACAAAAACAATAAAAAAAAAAACGAGATTTTACATGATTCACTAAAAACAAGTTAACTATGTTCATTGAAGGTGAGAGGAGAGTTTTATTGACCTAGAACATAACCATATACAAAACTACTAGGTTAAATCCTAAGAGAGTATTAGGTTGAAAACAGGCCTGAAAACGTAAAATCGTAGCTAATATAATAATTAGGTCTAACTAATTTAAGACGTATACTAATAAAATTTAATGGGAATGATCTTTTCGTTTGATAAAAAATATGGTTACATTTAACTTTTTAAGGTCAAAGTTTAAAATCTTTGTTCGAAAATTGTCACTCATATGATCATCAAATATTGATATTTGAAGGGGCTTTTTTTTTTTTTTTATCATAACTTTTAATAATAATATAGATACAGAGTATATTGAAAGTTCAAGGAGCAGAAAAAAAAATGTTTAGTTTACAAAAAACGAGGGACCCCAAAAACTTGTTTTGAGGATAATGTAAATACAGAGTAGTTTTGTTTAATTTGTCAACAAATTTAGTCGGCTACAAGAGGCAGGTCTCGCATATCTTTCTACCAATTCTTAACTACAAACTATTTTCATGATTGCAGGAGTTTATGCATCACTTTCATGCAATAATTTTGGCTAATTAGATTAAAACCCTTGAAAAAGAACTTCTAACCTTAATTCTTTTGCACTCTCTTCGCCAACCCTTGCTTCTAATTAAAATACCAAGCAATTGAATTGACAAATCATTTGGTACATGTCTTTGTCTCTTTTATTTCTTTTTTCCTTTTCTAGTGTTGAGAAAGGTACAATGACCATGTTTAAGAATACTTGGACTCTAGGGTGAAAAAATTAAAGCTTTACCGTAGAGAAAATTTCTTAATGGCTTTTGCTGCATTCACTTTTGTTTTCAACTTTGTCAAAGTATAAGAATATGACCTCTTCCTTAGGCACGAATTTCTAAACCCAATATTTTTATAATAGAACTCAGCTCATTTCAATTTTGTAGATCAAATTGTACTTTGTATAATGCATATTTTGGTAGTCGAAAAACAATGAAATACGCTTTTTTTTTCGAATGTACAATTCTACGTCTACAAAACTAAGAGTGTTATTTAATTACTCAAGTATCACCTCTGGAGTTTAAATAAGCGCAATCTCTTTAACCACCATCACCTATTTAAGGGGTACTTTAATGTACTTTTAAACGTATGTTTTTCTTTTTTCACAATAATAATGTAAAATATATAATATCTTAATTTCAATCAAATATAAAAAGACCACAAATCTTTGGACTTGTAATCTAATCAATTTATATGTATATACCCCTCCTATTTAATTTCTCAACCTAGCCACCTCCACGTTGCCAAATAATTTAAAGTTTTTATTACGTTAATTATATACGGTTAAAAGTGTGATATATATTATGAAAATATTTGCACGGAGATTAATTAATTAACTCGTCAACACCTAAAATAGTGACGATTATTTCGTATTATTACTTATAAAATGTATTTAAATCAGTACTGTAAAAAGTCAAAATAATGCATATATTGTGAAACGAAAAAAGTAAATTAAAAGTAAAAAAAACTGTTAATATCTCGAACTTAAAAATAATAATTAATGGGAGGGGGGGCAGGTCCCCTTTGCACTTACTTCTTTAGGGACACTTACTTGTAATTTAAAGAAGATGCACATGATTTCGCTTCAATGCGCCCTTAACAAGGGCCCCTCTCACCCTGCTCTGCCCTCTGATTCTACCATCACCCCTTTAAGTCACCATAACGGAATGTGGATGGATAGGTGTTGCACTACCATCCATCTTTCTTTTTTCTCTTTTCATTTTTTTAAGCTACCAATTCTTTGCCGACGATATTTATTTATAATTTTATCTTATGCGCATGAACCTCTCTAATTTAAATTATATGTATGGTGATAGGATTTGCATATCTCACATGCTCGGGTCGAATTATTAAAAGTAAATTATTACGTAATAATATCTAACGCATGTGCATCTCTGTTAGTGATAAGGTGGCACATGTACCGACATGTATTGTGCACAAGTTAAATAATAGTACTGAGAAAATTTTAAAAATTACGAGTATTTTTAACATTGAAACTTTGACGATTAATAGTGTCAATAATGTACCAACCACTTGTTCACAAGATTAGTTAAAGGCTACAGTACTATGACTAGTGTTAATTGGAAATCACAAGGGGCTTAGTTGGCAAGTCAATTACCCGCTAGTTGAGAATTTGAGAGAATTAAATTAGCAATTCAAGTTGTGCTTCATCAAAGATTGCTTTCTTTATTAGGTTAGGTTTAGTGATCATGTGATGGTTAGTGGAAGCACACTATTTTTTCCTTTTATTTTTTAATTTACTAAATCTCCCCCCCCCCCCCCCAAAAAAAAATAAATAAATAAATAAAGAACAAAAAAAGGGAAAGTGGCAAGACTTGACTTGTTAATGCTCATGCACGTCCAAAGATTAGTCAAGCTAATCATCGAACCAATTAAACGGAGAACAAAGTTGCCAATACATGGAAAATAATGTTTCTAAAGTTTGCCAAATTTGGCAAGGAGAAATAAAGGATTATGAATTATAATTATGTGGAAAAAAAAGGCTACACCAACAATTAATTTGCAAACAGCAATGCGCTCCCTGACTATTTTTTTTTCTTCTTTCTCTTCTATGCTCTTTTGAGCTAGGGTTTAATCCCCTGCTCGAATGTTGCTTTCAAAAAATTTCAAAAAGAACCAAAGAAAATTAAACTTGGAAAAATTGTTTCTTGAAATAAAAGGAAGAAAAACCTAGACAAATGCTAGCTACTATTACCAAACTCGTCTAAGATTAAAATTTTAAGTCCTCTTTGTTACCCCTCCCTAGCTAGCTAGCATAATTTGATCATTCGACTATATGAGTTGCCTATAGTCCGACCCGATATGTTGGTGGATCAAATAATCATCACCATTAGAAGGGTCGAACATCATATTGCTACTAGTATTTGGATTATGATGAATGAGTTGTTGATATTGGTGTTGTTGTTGTTGCATTTGTTGTTGCCTCATTAGTTCCTTTTGTCTTCGGAGCTCAATCACCTTTCGGTGGGAGTTCGAATGCTTTGTTAGCATGAAGGTCGGGCTTGCAGCGGGTCGGTACTCAGGCACCAACCGACCCGATTTGTACCTAACTCCGCAAGCGTTACAAAGCGTCTTCGGGCCCATAGGCCCGGTACGCCATTGTGGTGTTTTGTCGGTCGCACAATGCAAACACTTCCTCACCTCACCCCCAGAGGTCGGGTCCACCATGGGCCCAATCCCGCCCAAACTCGACCCTTTCTTTTTCGAACCGGCAGACTTTGTCGGCTTTGTGATCGGAACTTGCTCGTTACCGCCCGGGGCAAGGACAAGGAGGCGCGAGGCCCAATTGCACGGGGCAGCACGGGAGCGCTTGCTTCGGGCTTTCCCGGGCACGGCCATCTCCGGGCTAAAAATAGGGCTTGTCGGGAGCGGTGCTGCCCGGGTTGGTTCGGTCGGGTAATACCGGGTTTCTGACACGTCATCGGTTCGGGTCTTCATTGCTGACATGGCCGGAATGAGGTGGAATTTGTGCAAGTCTTCACTCGAAAATGATTCCTCCACAAAATTTGAGAGCCATTCTAGCTCAGCTAAATCGTCATACTGGCCAAACACAAACAAAAGATACATTAAGTTGATAGTAAATAAAATACTACTTATAATTGATAAAAACAATACCACAATATAAATTGATCATCATATAATTAAAATTTTGGCTTCATATATTGATTTATTCATTGGCTTTTTCTCCCTTTATTCATGGAGTACAAAATCAATGGACCCACAACGATTACTTCTTTCATAATGCATTCACTGACTCTCTTCACCCCCCACCCTTTTCTAGATAAAGACGTTAAAGGACAAGAAAAATTCATCAATTTTTCAAAAGAAATTGGCACAAAGAACAAAACTAGCTTGTAAAATTCCTTCATTTCAAATTTCTCATCATAAAAAGCAAAAAAAAAACCAAATTTCCGAACATTAAAGAATTCATGATTATTAACCCCTTAATGTCATTGTCTAAACCATATAACACTATATACTTTACCAATTAAAACAAACAAGATTCCAAACTCAAATCTTAATTCTTCGCTATATTATCCCTTACATTAGCTAAAATTCATCATTTTTATTTTTATTTTTATTTTTTTAAAAAAAACCCTTTATGAAATTCATAAATTATATCCATATTACTAATTACTTAAGTGAAATAACTAAATAAAATAAAAAATTAAACATGTTATAATGGCTAGAACTCTGGAAATTTCTTATAATGTCGGCCCTAGAGTTCTGGCTAAGAAGAACTCCAGGGCCGGTACCATTCTACATGACTCATACACCTTCTTAAAAAACTCCGTCTGAAAAGAAAAAAAAAAACTAGTATATAAGAGTAAATAATAAAACGTACCGGAACACCGAGCTCGCCGGAGAAGTGAGACCCAATATCCCCGGCAGGAGGAAAAATGGAGTCATTATTACCGGAGAAGGAAGAATTGCAGCTATCAACGGGGGTGACAACGGTAGAATCATCGGAATTATTAGAGTGATGAAGATTATCAAAAGAGGCATTAACATTAGTATTATCATTATTAATATTGTTACTAATATTGTTATTATTAGTATCATGAAGAACCACACCACCATTAATATTAGTATCATCATTAGAAAAATCAAGAAGGTCCTCAACAATAAAAGGGTCACCACTACAAGAGAGTCGCCTCTCGGGCGTGTTAATAAGGTGGTGGTGAGAAGGGGTGAAATGGCTGAATTCGGAACCCGAAGATGCTTCCATTGTTGTTATAATTGACGACACAAAATGATAATAATGGTGTGGTGGTGTAGTAGTAGTAGAGAGGTTTATTAGAGCAAAAGAGGAGAAAGTAGAATGGAAGTGTGTAAAATGTGTTGGGAAAAAAAAAGGGCAAGAGTTGTGGAAGAGAGAAAAAGAGGAGAGAGAAAGAATTGAAGTGGTGAGGAGAGACTTATGGAGTGGGGAGAAGAGAGAAGAGAGAGTGAATTGGCGTTTCAAAGGGACTTGTGGACAGCTGCTCTATATTACTTCCATTTTCCTTTATTTCTACTATAAATATAACATTTTTTTTTTTTACAATATGAATTAATTAAATTAATAAATGAATTTTGATTAGTTAATTAATTAGGTTTATTTAAAATAAAGTGGGGGAAAATACTTTGATGCCCTTTTCATTTTTAAGTGCTTTTTAGTGAGAGGAGGGTTGCTTGTTTTACCAGTTTTTGTCTCAATTTTGACACTTTTTTTTTTAATTTTTAAGACGTTGTACTTTTGATAGTTAAAGAGTGGACCATAATACCATATTTTTTATTTTGTTTATCTTTACAGCTAGTAATAGGGGTTAACTTGAGTTTCAAGTAGGTATTGTTGCTTCCAATTTTTTAAATTTTTTGTAATAAAAATATTGTATGTGAGTGTGTGCCTAGCTTTAATTCTTGATAGCATATTTTTTTGTGCAAGAAATATAGAATTCATATTTTTATGGGTAACGTTATTTAATATAGCAAGAAATATAGAATTCATATTTTTATGTGCCTAGCTTCCATTTTTAATACTGTATTAAATTGAGAATTTATCGACAATTTATATTAGTGTAATAAATACTTATCTATTATCAATTTTTTTCACTATTAGCTTCTTATATGCAGAGCATATATTTTTTCCTTTTTTTAAAACGGTTTTCAATCATAGTTCTCTATTTTCCTAATATTGCAACCCTATATTGAATTTTTACACTATTTGCCGCTCTATTCATCTCAATATATAATTTTCACAATAATATAAACTTTATATATTGCCCAAATGTCATTTAGCTCTGCTTTGCTAGGGTAAGTCCGAGGGCTCCGCTTGTACGTCTGAGAGCTCAACCTGTAAAACAAGGAAGGTTAATTGCCCCAGGGGTGTGACCCGGGAAAGCCCCTCCGATGCTTAAGTTAGCAAGAGTACTTTCTATAGAGAGAATTATACTTCCAGGTGGCAAAGTTGTACTTAGCTGGACAGAATAAGGGGAATTTGTATTTTACAATGATTAATGATGGGTTGGATCATGGAGGGTTATTTTCGTAATTTTAGATCATTAGGCTTAAGACAATGGACTTTGCCTAAATAGTTACTTTTTTTTACTAATAATAATTATTTTAAATCCTTTTTACTTGCGCTACTGTTATATGCATGTAATTCATTTGTTTCTGAAAGTTCGAACCACTTAACAATTATGTTGTCTCTAACAATTAATCGTCTTTGACCATGAATATTTTCAACTATGTACAGGTCAAAAATATAAAAAATTGATACACGAAAAATCTATAATAAGGAAAATCTAATAAGATTACACATGTTAAGTTATTCCTATTGTATGAATCATAATGTGATCAAAGTATATCTATTTTGACCACATAAATAGCAAGTGAGTCCAACTTCCAGAATTAGTAGAGGAAACAATAGGTTGGGCCGGGGAATGTGAAGCTTAATTCAAGAGAAAGAAAACGAAGATAGGGCAACTAAATTAAGACACCGTACCCAAAATGACAATTGGCTTATCTATTTGATAGTATATATCATAGGGGTTGGACTAGTTTCTTGATCTACATGTGTAGGTAAATTCTGAATACAAATAATTTTATACTAATTTATTTGTGTAATAATTTGAATTACATACTTATTGCGCGTGTGGTGCATGCAATTTATCTATATTAATTAATTATTTAATGCAATTGAACAATAATTATCAATAAGGTATATACATAAAATCCTAATAACGATAGTTGAAATTTTATTTTTATAAGAAAAATGGAGTTATATATATCAAATTATTTATACTCTAAAAAATGTCTCATGTAAAATGAAGTGCTATATCTAACCATTTAAATTGCTTGATCTTTAATTTTTCTGTATAAAATATGACCTAAACAAACCCGCAAACAACACTTGTCCCTTCATTATTTATTTCGAACCCTAATTAAAAACCTTAATATGGACAGTAAGTTCAACCCATAAACCAATTTGCGATTGAAATTGTTGAGAGATGAAACAAACGGAATGTTAAATGCTTTTCGTTGCCGAAAAAAACCCTTGACATCACTTCATTATTAGCTTAGTGATCGAAAAACATTTTGGAGATGAAATGGTATAGGTAAATATTGTGCTAAATTTATTAATATAAATCTTAATACTGAAGTGTTAATCCTGTTAAGTCATAATATAAAATTGATTATTAGAAATCAGAGTGAATTAAACTTAAATTAGAGTGAAAGAATTGGCGAATATTTAATTTTGACCTTTTTCTGTTTAATTTATTTTCCTTATTAGTTATCCTAAAATTTTTGTAGCAAAACATATAATTGCATCAAATTATTATGCTAAACTCTCCACCCATGATATGTTCTATAGTAATATTACTTATTATTATACATATAATAATATTACTGCTCCATTTTAATTTGCCTTGATGTGGTATTCACTTTAGATAAATTTATAAATTTTGTTTGTGGGTGGTAAATAGAGAAAGAAAAATACACTGGTATGTGATGAAGAGAGATGAAAATAACTAAAAAAAAAGTTATTAGAAATAAATTAATTAAAACATTTGTTGCAAATATGTAAATTCGAACAGGATGAGAATTGTTAAATATTGAGTACGTCAAAAATTTCATGTAAAATGAATTAGACGAACTTTGTAAAGCTAACTAGTTACTCTTAAGTCTCTAACTTCTATCTTGTTTAAGACTTTAACATGTTGACCTAAATATCATATAATTGATCAGACATAAAGCTAAACTAATAACTAATATATAAAGCTGAACTTTTTTTACCCCACACGACAATATCACTTGAAATTTCAGTATTTCATTAAGTGTCGTGTATGATACAACGACAAATAAGTATTAGCATAACACACATTATACCAAATAAACAAACTTTGGAAGAGATTTTTAAAGAATATAAATGGTGCTAGACTTTAAAGTTTTAATATCTTACATATATGAAATAAAGTACATCAAGGCCATGTTTGGTAAATGGCTTTTTGGTTAGCTTTTGGCTTTTTTATGAGGTCAAACAGCCAAAAAATGTGTTTGGTAATTGGCTTTTTAGCCAGTGAAAAAGCTGGCTTTTAAGCCAAAATGAAAAAACTGCTTTGAGTAGCTTTTTTGTTGGCTTTTGGCTTGTTGGCCCACAAATTATCTAATAAACAGCCAACTACCAACAATTAATTTACCAAACACTTTTATATACAGTCAGCTTTAACCGCCAATTTCAAAAGTCATTATAAACAGCCAAACATACCAGCTGGTCAAACAAGCCAAGTGAACCAGCCAACAGCCAACCGCCAACAGCCACTTGCCAAACAAGGCCCAAGTCTTGTGTGTGGTTAGCTAGCTACATGATATGAACATATTTGTTTAATTTATAGGAGTAACCTTTTATTTTTTCATAAGAGAAACTTATTTTGTTTATAAGAGTAACCTAATAATTCATTATATGAGAAACATTAATTATAAATAATAATAATACTAATAATAATAATAATAATAAGGTAAACCCCATTATTGTTCATTGGAGTAAAATCTATTTTCTTTTATTTTGACAATTAAAAGCTCTACTTGCTCAAAATTTCTCGTTAAATAATATAACCATCTAACTAAGGGTCTGTTCACATTTACTTAATTTCAGTTCAGCTCTAATCAGTTCAGTTCAGTTCAGTTCAGCTCCAATCAGTTCAATTCAGTGCAGCTCCTAATTTCCCTCTCTCATATAACATTCATTTCAGCTTAGTTCATTTCAGTTCAATTCAACTCCAATCAGTTCACTTCAGTTTACTTCAATTCAGCTCAGTTCAGTAAATGTGAACAGACTCTAACTTGAGTAATCTCATAATTTGAACATTGCTATAACCCTCACTACTCAATTAATTGTCTTGTATGTTAAGTTGTCACACCCTCAAGTATGATTGATCACATATACTATGTAGGAATTTGTAAATTTATATAATTTTCTTATAAATTAATTTGCAATTTTTACATCATAATTTTTTATCTAGAAAGTACTTTAAAATATGATACATTTAACTACATCCCAACCTCTACTTCCACACCCTCTTCAAGAAAAAAAGTAACATAAATGGAATAGCGGTAATATTGGGATCAATTCCAATGGCTGACTACCGTACAATGTACATGTTCTTATGACATTATTCTTTTTATTTTTAATTCAGATAATTATAAGATGATTATGAATTCTTAATTGTATTTTTCTAAATAACAAAATAAAAGAGACTAAAATTGATCTTAAATTCAACTCCTTTGGAATCGATCTAGCAGGTTTGTCGCTGCGACTCGTGCATTAGCGTCCAAGTTTACAGCCGGATTCTCTTCCCCTTTACTCTTTTTTTTTTTTTTTTAATCTTTAAATTTTTTTTCTTTTTATTTTCCTTTATTTAGGGAACTGTGCCCTTTTTTTTTGTTTTTTTTTACTTTTTACATTTTTTTTTAATTTGTCTGATTTTATCCATTTAATAATTCATTTTTTGTTTGTTAATTAATTAGGATTATCTCAAGCTCTACCCCACTTAATAAGCACGACGTTACAGCTCACCATGTTATAAAAATTAACAGTTGGGACGTCACTGACGTGTCATTCAATGATTGGCTTAACTAATTTTTACTTACATTTAACTGATTACGTTAATTTATGTCTAGAAAAAAAAGTACATTTCTATATAAGTGGATTAGCTGACACTTGGTAGTACCTGATTAGATATGCACTAGGTGAGTGGGACCTTCAATGTAGTGTCAATCCCGAGGTATAGAATATGTGGATAATCTTAAGGAATAATCTGAGTATGCTACTCATTAATAACACAAGGAAATGTAATAATAGTAATTCATTCCCCCCCAAAAAAAAAATTAAAAAAAAAAGATAAAAGAAAAAGATTAGTATATAGTTTTGTGTTAAGTGGTAGCATAATGTGTAGTGCAAACACATTCAACCTACTCATTACTAATTGCATCCAACTCACTTCATGTACATGTAAAAAAATTCATTTAATTTGGGATGGATATGATCCCAATATTTTATGAAATCTTTTATCGCTTTTGTTTGGAGCAATTTCTCATAAGGTTATTATCATTTTTTTTGTCTTGAATATACTACTGTTTTTACCTTTATTTGGTATGATTTGTCCAACTAGATTTCTTATACTTCCTCCGTTTTTTTATTATTGCACCATAGAGGTTGGATACAAATATTTTGGTAGTGGAAAAAAGTTAGAGAGAGAAATGTAAAAATACAAAATTGCCCATTTGACATATTTATAAATTAAAAAGTAAGTGTGAAAAGCAAGAGTATGTTGGGTATTTGTAGTGTGAACACAAGTAATTTTTTTCCTAAAGAGGAAATGGTGTAATATTTGTGAAACTTCCTAAAAAGGCAAGTGGTGCAATAATAAAAGAACGGAGGAAGTATTAAAGAAAAATGATGCTCGAAATTTGATCTCAAAAATTTAATCAAGTAAATCAACTAAGTTAGTTGGCACCTACGTTAGTTAATAACTATAGCAA